CCCCGCGCCAAGCCCGCTCCCTCTTCTCTCTGCTCTCTTCTTGTAGATTGGTCCCACTTCCGAAATTGCCCTTCTCACGTACTATCGAATAAATTCCGTCAATCCCGCGCAAGCAGAGCATATCACATCTTCGAAATTCAAAAAAGGGTGCACCCACACCCAGCCCCTAGCGCGGTCCAGAGGTCAGATGAGAGAGGGGTGGAAGGCGTCATTACTGCTGTGAAAACGGATAGACGTAAGAGCTTCCTTCACAAGGGAGAGAATGGATAGATGAGCGTAAATGGTTGTTGGCAGAAACGTTCCGCTCAAGGACAAATCGCCCCGCCGCCTCCCCCTCCACCCCACCCCCTCCCTCTCCCCTTCCACGATGAAGCGTTCCCAGGCTGCAAACGCGCGCTTCTCCCCACCCTCCTCCTGCTCACTCTGTTTTTTGCGCCCAACGCCACCATCCATCAGCTTGTGAATGAATAGAAAGAGAGAGAGAGAACAACGAAGGAGGGGAAAGAATGCGGTGGTCAGGGGTAAGAATAGAGTTCAAAAGTGGGAGAAAAACGAGACGCACAACAAGGTGAAAGAAATAATCCAGCGGGCAGGGGGGTAGAGCACAAGAAAGAGTGCAAAGGGGAAAAAACACGAGACGCCTTACCCTAAGTTCTTTGAGAGTCGCGCCTTCCAGCATCTTCGCATCAATTGCTTGCTCCCCATCCTCCGCCTGTGCTACAGGGGGGAACTGCTGTTTAACAGTGGCACGCGGGTTGTGCCGCTTGACTAACTTTTCAATTGCCACGTTATCCTCGACACCTTCTGCGGCGAAGTTCGTCGGGTAGCTCTCCTCCATAGACCCTCCTCCTCCTCCTCGCTCCATATCTCGGGGCAAAGCACCACCTCCTCCGGCCTCGACTTGCGGGTATCTTCGGCCATCTTTTTTACCCCCTCCAACAGGCACAGGATGAGTATGACGGACTTTAGGCCTCCCCTTTTTCCACGTCGAGGCCCGTTTGCGCCGCCGATCTTGACCGACCCGCCGTTCGGGACGTTTCTTCGTAGCGACAGATACGACTCGAAGGTTGCCCCTGCCGGCGGAAGCAGTAGCAGCGGGAGCACGAAAACTCCCCCCCTCTTCCCCCAACGCAGATTCGAATACTCCCCCCGCACCCCCCGTCGACGCTGTTGCAAGACTTGAACCCCCGACGTGATCCTCGTCGCCTCTGTACTGAGGGTCCATAAGCTGCCCCTCCTCTAAGCTGCCGCTTTCTTCCCTGTACACCTCCTCCCCGTCCTCGCCGCCATATCCTTCCTCCGTTTCGCCTTCCAGGCCCTCCACCACTCCCGCTTCTCTGCCATCTTCTCTCCCCAAATCATCCTCCTCCTCTAGAGCTTCCACTTCCACCTCCTCGTACTCCTCTCCCTCATCATCCACTCCCCGCCGAACCCCCCCATACCCATCTTTCCCTCTCTTGTCGAACTCCTCCCCCTCCCCCTCCCCCTCCTCCTCCTCCTCCTCCTCCTCCTCCTCTTCCTCGTGCTCCTCAGCGAACTTCAAGCTTTGATCATGTCCTCTGCCCCCACCACCAATCAACGGTTCCCCGTAGCCTGCTACCTGTTCATCACTCTGACTAGCATCCATCGTCTCTTCCGCCTCTAACCCCCTCTCCCCCCCCATCTCTCGAGATACTCCTCACTCTTCGCGCCGACTTTGGGTTCCCTCCCTCCCTCCCTTCTTCCCTATCCACCTCCACCCCCTTGTTTCCCTCCCAAATCTCGAAACCCCTACATCCCTCCTTCCCAAGCCCCCCTGCCCCTCTCCGTCCAAGCCCCTTTGCGCAGGTACCCGTTACACTTCCGCAGGTACCCGGTCTAGCAATCTCCTCACCTCCACTCCGCTTGATTCAGCTCCTTTGCCCTCCGTACCACAATCATACTCCTGTGCTCTGGTGGTGATGTACGAGGCATTCTTTAAGAGCAAGAGTGGGAAGCCCCAGAAGAGCAGCCACTCCCCCTCCGCACACATACCGCCCCGTCAGCTGCAAGCCGAAATGCGAAATCCTTCAGTACTTTATAGTACTGACACCTGTCTACGGCACAGAGCGGCTGCGTTGTTGCCATCATACCCAATGGCGCAGCGGCCCTTCCGCGAACGAGAGGTCGATCTCTCCCGCTGGCCCTCGCTCCGCTCGTCTTCCCCTCCCCCCAAGAGAACCGCTTGCTGACTCTATTTGCTGCTCCCAACTTCCGATTTAATGAAGCTAATGATAATGATGCCGATGATAATGATGATCTTGCCGCCCGCCTGTCTAGCTACGCACAACCAGCCAAGAAATCACACAAACAGGCAGCTTACAACGTCACGTTACGCACTCGTACGGCCAGCAGAGAGGACGAGGTACCCTTGTTTTGGATTACAAAGCAAGCGGAGCTCTACGAGATAACAACAACAAGAGACGTGGAAAGAAGCCAGGGGGAAAAAAAAAAAAAAAAAAGACAGCAAGAACAACCCTCGTGAGGTTAGCACAGTTTTAGCTGTCCGCGGGAAGGAGAAAGGAGGGGAGGGAGGGGAGGAAGCAAGGGGGGGGAGGGGGGGGGGGAAAGAACGGCGATCAAACCGACAAAAATAGGGGGGGGGTAGAAAAAGATCATCAACATCGAGAGGTGGGGTAGAAAAAGTGTAGCATGAATAGGGGTACGATCGCCCGGTGATTGATGAGTCGCCAAGAGCTTGCCTTCAAACACATGGTTTTACTTCTGCTCTCCCTCATGTCTCTGCCTCGCTCTCTCTTTCCCCTTCCACTGGTACCATCACCCCCGGTCGCCTTCCTTACCACTTTCATCCATTCCTTCTCTGCCTCACGCTCCTCCCCCCCCCTCCTCTCCTCCAATCACCTTTCCCCCCACGTCCACCCCCGCCCCCACACCCCGCAGGTGGAACACTGGCTGCTTTCCCTTGTGCTGCAGACGAGAAGGACAACACCACAGGCGACGGACTACGCCTGCCCTACAGGCAACTCAGAAACGATCGATGACGTACCCAGCGGCATCCACAAACAGGACCGTCGTTCACCGCCGCCAACTTCGCTCCCTTAGTAGCCACAGAGCGCGCCAATGCAGCGTTCAATATAGGCGATGACAATCATTAATCATTATTAATCATCACAGAGAATAAGCGAACCAGTAGGCCGCAAGTGCGGGAAGCCACAATCAACTCCACTCGATGGATTACAGTAAGTTCCTGCACCCAGCTCACCGCAAGACTCCCTTTCCCATTCTTCCTCTCGCCCCTCCGGCTCCCTCCCCTCGAGTTCTTCTTCTACCCCTTCTTCCCCTCCTCTGACTCTCCACATCCCTTCTTCTCTCCCTCACTCATTCCGCAATATCCTCTCTCTCTCTCTCTCTCTCTCTCTCTCTCTCTCTCTCTCTCTCTCTCACACACACACAGACACAGACAAACGCGCGCGCGCGCGCAGAATCTAGATGGCGGGATAGTTAAACGGTATGTCATCATTCGACGGCAAAAAAGCGAATGACGCAAAGCTGGCAAGTAGATATCGTAATGGTGGAGAAGACACGTGTATCCGTTGGTCTGCTACCTGGAATGCAAGTCGGGCTAAGGTTGAAGAGAGAGACCGTGACGTCCAAAAGCCCAGTCAGGTATCGCGCGCAAACGCAGAGACAGTATTCCCCCCGCCCATATGCAAGGCTCGTCGTAGACCGCGCTGTAAAGATGCAGTAAGCGCCAATACGCCCGCCCCCAAATCCATTCTCAATCATTGGAAAACACGAGGCGGCAAAAAACGATACCCTGCCAAATCCCGTTGGGGGACGCACTCGGCCGAGAAGCGGTCCAGGAACATCTATTCGCAATCCTCCTCATCCCTTTACCTCCCCCTCCCCC